TATATATATATATATATATATATATATATATATTTTTGGATTTCTTTTATCCTGTTTTTCTTTTGCCAAATATATAATGAAACTATTATCAACTTATATGATTAATAATATATATTTTTTATTGATATTTATGGTTTTTAGAATTTTCGTTTTAATATTAAATAATATTATTTTAAACATTTTTATCTTTTGTATATTTGCTCCTTAAGTTATAATTCGATAAGTGGTTAGCATTTATTTAAGTCTGAAATATTTACTGGTTGTGATTTTCAGTGTCTATGCCATTGTCTGTGGATGTATGTATGTGTATATATCGGTGTCTATGTGTATGTAGAGTGTATTCACATTTATCTGTGTGTGTGTATAAGTGTTAGTTTCCACGTCTTTTTTTTTTTCATAAAGGGTTGTAGAGATGTTCATGTATTCCCCCACCTCTCCTTTTTTTTTTTTTTTTTTTTTTTTATTAGTGTGTGTGTGTTGTGTTGTGTGTGTGTGTGTGTGTGTGTGTGTGTATCTAATTATGTCTGGATGCTTATGTATTATAATCTGATTGTGTTTTTGTTGTGTCACGCGTGAGTTTAAGACCATATTCACAAACTTTAAAAAAAAAACGGAAAAAAAGGGAAAAGAGAAAAATATATATACATGTATTATCAAATGACCGGATGTATTGTAGCGTCTGGTCTTGTCGAACGTAATTTCAATGAAGAAATGAATTGAATAAACATATATATTTTTTCTTTTCTCAATAATTTTGTAGTTTTTAAACTTAATAGTGATTAAATTTGATTTTAAAATTGCCAGTTTTAATATTAATATTAAATTTTATCATGGAAATTTATAATTATTAGTTAGTATAAATTATTTTTAATATTACACGTATTTAAAGATCTGAATAGCTATTAGAGCAGGATTTCGTTGTCAAGCTTTTTGAATCTTTCTATACTTCGTTTTTGATTGGTTATTCTAGCTTTTGTAACAATGTTTCCCCCAGTGTAGGATCGTTAATTAATCTGAAACTTTTAAAACCATTTATTTTCTTTTCAACATCATCACTTGATAAGACACAGAGTGTGTTGAAACAAAATGGCTATTTTGTAGTGATTTTATAACATACTTATGTTATAATTTTTTTATAAAAATAATTATATCTGCTCTACTTTGTATTGAGCACTCTTTAAGAATAGTAATTGTTGGTTATTGGAATTCATTCCGTGTATACCAATTATATACTTTGATATATATATATATATATATATATATATATATATATATATATATATATATAATATATTTTTACACAAACATACACACATGCAAACATACCATACATAATAGTTACTGTTTAGATTTCTTCATAATAATATAATATATAAGTATGGAGAACGAATATATACACACATACTGGCAAAAACAAAGAAAACTAGACAGGCCACACACACTTATGCGCGCACATACCCACACACACAGATGAACTCTACGTACCATACAAAGTGTGTGTGTATGTATGTATGTATGTATATATATATAATATTCCTTGTAATAAAACAACATATATGTATGTACAAAAAACATATATACATACACTAGCAAAAAACATACACAATACACAAGAATGGAGGCAGATGTAAGAAGATTCGCAGGAAATAAAAAGATGTGAACAAAAACCTCATCTTTTCGCCTTTATCTGACCAATCCTAATGGTTTTATTATCCCTTAAGCAAAAAGACTATTTCATCAGTTCAAGATGATTTGGATTGCTACAACTCACAAAAGACAATGGTTAAAAAAATCAATATAAGAAAAATTAATTCCTTTTAATAATAAGTGTAAATAACCTTTCTTCTCTTGATGAAGGTCACAAGAGCTGAGAAACGTCTAGAAGAAATATAGAAAATAATAATATAATATATGCAAAAAATCCACATTATAACCAAAAACATTTGTGGCGTTTTCTCTCTTTAAAATATACACTTTTCTCTCGATCAACAACTATAATCTCTCCCTTACACACACACACACACACACACACACATATATATATATATATATATATATATATATATATAAACCCCAGAGATATACGTATATAATAATAACAAAAATAAATTATTACCAATAATAAAAAGAATACAATCTCCAAACTAGAATTTTTTTCACTATATGTAAAAAAATACGTCATCACGCAAATTCTTCGCTCATTGTAGCGAGTTGAGTCGAAAATTTTCATTATAAAAGTTTGGAAAATATCTTAGATCCCAAAATGGCGTTGTTGTGAAAAACCATTGGCAATTTGAAGAAGAAGATGGGCTAACCCAGTCGACACACAATTTCTATGCACTTTAATAAAATATGTTTGAAGGAACAATTGCTGCGTAATTACACTGACATATATATATATATAACCCCATCAGTAAACTCATTACTTTAATCTGATGAAGTCCTTTTAGTGGATTAATCACGTTGCCTAAAAATAATATTCTAAACTTATATTCGATACTGAGCACTCTACCACAAAGCCTGCTTGCCTTAAATGTCATTATCTGCAAATCCCCCGAAAAAAAGCCATCAAATTTGGCTTCCAAAACAGTCTTCAAATTACCATTATATATATATATATATATATATATATATATATATATATATTCATTGTACTTGCATAATTGTATGACTATTTCCTTATGATATTAATTACACAGCACCATTTATACATACATACACACAAACACACAAACATATATATATATGTGTGTGTGTGTGTGTATGTGTGTGTGTGTGTGTGTGTGTTAAATGGTGCTGTGTAATTAATATCATAAGGAAATAGTCATACAAATATGCAAGTACTTTCGATGAATAATTTCATCATCTTTAGGCATGGATATTATTTTACAATTTCTGGCAATTTCAGGTAACTTCCGAGACGAAAATAAATCTAATACACGTTGAAATATATTTTATTTAAAATCGTGTTATTATTAACTGTTAGAAAATTTTGGGGTGTGCAAAGTCGTGACACTAGAATTTTATTTTGAATATTATAAGTTAGAACATTTTTTTAATATAGTAATATGGCAATTCACGATTTTTTATTGGTGTACGTGTTTTATCCGTGAACGTGAAATGGACTAAGTCGTCCAAATGTCCACGTAGATTCACAGAATTTTTCTACTGCACACCAGGTTTTTTTTAAAATCTAATAAATGGTGCAGTGTAATTAATATTATAAATTAATTAATCCATTTTAGAATTTTTAAAAACAAACATCAACGAGCAGTTATGAAGTGAATGCTTTATTTAATCTGTTAGTGAAGTGATTTCGCCATTTATTACATTAACTTTACTGATTTTTTCTTTGTATGACTATTTTTTTATATTAATAATATAACCATTTCACTTACAAGGCTTGGGTGAAGCCGTGGTGTGGTTTTCAGGCACTTTCCAAAGGTGGGAATCGACCCCTCCACTCTGATAGCATCCAGTCGATTGATCAGGAAGAAGACTTAATGAAAAATCGAACATGGTGAGATACGAACCCGGACCCGGATCTCATGTTCTGAATGCGAATGTTCTAACCACTCGTACACTCTATTTAAAATTTTACCCACAGTTACAAAATTTTATATAGGAAGTACCAAGTGTTTATTTAAAAGTAGGTGGTATCAACATATATTTTCTTTCAACAACAATGCGTACTGTAATAGGACGTCCTTTTGTAAATATTTGACGGTAAAATGGAAAAATTAATAAAAAATAAATATAACTATGTTTCTTGTGTTTACAGGAAAATTCCATATTATAAACTTTGCTAACAAAAAAGCTCTGTTAAACCAAAGAAATGAATTAACTGTATTATGTCGACATGTCTAAATTTTACCATTAAATATATTTTTTAAATCATTCATAAATAATTTCGTATTATACTTGTATAGCCATTATCTTATTAGTATATAATTGTCCACCCTCTACGGGTAATTTATTGATTTGATTTATTCATCTTTAATATTGCCATGTTTTCCCGTCGATTCAGCGTTATTAGAATCGTATATACATGTTCCACTTTTTTGACTGTATCTATTGACCCCTTTAAGAAGTTTCCTAAATATAAAACACTTCTTTTTTTTTTAATTTTGCTTCTGATAAATTTATGTCTGATTAACTGTCACACTACTTCAACAATTGGGAACATCATATTTGGCAACATTCTTAATACACCTGTCGCTGCCATATTTGCTACAATTGTTGGATGACATGTCGAAGCGCAAGTTTATCTTGACATGAAAAAATAACTCACCAACCTCTAACCATCTGACCTTATTTTTCATTTTAACTTAGATCTGACTTTTAATTGGTTAATCGAGACACACCCACTAATATATTTTTAATTCTGACATTATACCCCACTTTTAACTTTAAAGATTTTAAATTTCTCTAATAAATTATTTTTATCACAAGTTATCAATCATCTCCTGACGAAGTACAATCATAGTATTATAAGACGTAAAATGTTTTTATTATAATCTTTTATAATAAAAATATTATAATGATATTTTCCTCTACTTTGTATTGAGCACTTTTTTAAAAAGTAAATAATACGAATTGTGTATTTTTACCTCATTTGTTCTTTTTCTTATTTTTCCTCGGTAATTTTGGTGGTTCTTCAATGGACTTTGAAGTTGGAATCAAGAGTATGAATGTTGGAACCAATACTGAAAGCCTGAATGACCTTTTTCCTCCCAACATTGCTCAGTTAGGGCTGACACAATATGATTTTAACCTGTTCTCCTTTTAGTTGAATAACTCAAAGGGATTTTAGTGATTCTTACGATACATGGTGTCAAGATGGCTAAACGGCTTATCTGAAAACCTGTAAAAAACATAGTCAATTAGTTAAGTAATTAGTTAATTACATTAAATATTTCGTGGGATGGTTAATTATCCTATGCTGTTACACGATTTGGACAATTTTGTTGTTACACCCGGTAGATTTAATCTTTCCGTACGTATAGATAGATAGATAGATAGATAGATAGATAGATAGATAGATAGATAGATAGATAGATATAGTATTACACTGATGTAAAGACACATATAACACTGTTAAATAAAAAAATACTTAGAGTTTTGCACATGATTATGAAGAGATTAAATAAGATGTGAAATTAGAAATAGAAAATGTTTGAGAAAAGGAAAGAAATAATTAATTATGGCTCAGTAAGTGGAAGACAGATTAAAACGAACGAGACCAGTGTAAACATAGAAAAAGATAAATATAACGCAAGATAAAGAAAGATAAGTCATAACGAAAACAATATTGTTTTTTTTTATTTGTCATATCTTTCAGGATGTGGGCGATTGAGGTTTTATTTCTAATTCCCTAGCTTTTGTATTTCTCAGCAACATTTAGCCCATTACCATACGTCTTTGTCCTTGTCATATCGAAAAGAATTGAGAAATAACGAAAAACTAAGACATTTAAATGAACAATACAGAGATCGCGTGGAAAATAAAAAGGAAAGGAGGGTTTCAATGTAGAAAGCGAAGACTTCGAATTGAGAAATAAAGAAGGTCGAGAAATATACACAAAATCATAGTAGAAGGAAAATATTTAAAATGGCAGGAAAAAAGAAAAGCATTATGAAAGACAATGAACAAAGAAGTAGAGAGAGAAAGAGAGATGACATTAAGAGGAAAGTAAGGAAGTTAAACAAAATAGAATTGAAAGATGAAAGTATCAGAAGGCGTGTAAACAGAAAGATGGAAAAAGGAAGAGGAAGTAAACAGAGAAAGAGTAACAATAAAGAAAGAATATAAGAGAAAAGAAAAAAGTATAGTAACTCTTGAAAGGGTGGAACAATATAAAATATGATTGTGATAGGGTAGAAGAAATAAAAAGTTAAACGAAAACAGAGAGGAAAAGCAAAGATAACTGATAAAGAAAAGATAGATGGAAAAGAAAGAACCAATGGAAAATGGCATGATACATTTTGAAAAATACAATATCAGTACAAAATAATATTAAAATTCGAGTTCATTAACAAAGAATTTAATGTCCATGAACATTCTCCTCCGCTATCTAATTACCACCTTCTAATCTCGCCGATGATCGCATGATCACGTCTTTTCACATCAACATTTCTGGGCGGAGAAATCGTCTGCATCCAACGACAATCAATGAAACCGACCACTGACTTCTTTACGTACCGAGACCCCTCAGGATACAGACGATATGGCTCTCCAGAATTTCCTCTAATCTGTATCTCTTAATAAATTTTCTCTTTTTGTTTTCTCTCCTAAAGCGATCTATTTAATCAAGCTCACTAAGTACATGTTACGTTTTTTTTTTCTCTGTTTCTCTTGCCTTCAAACTATTCTGTGAGTATCATATTTTCCAATCCCTCTTTTCTCATTACTTGCCCTAGAAATTTTGACAATTTCTTCTTGATGTTAAAAATAAGTGTCCTTTTTGTTTCCATTTTCTCTAAAACTTCGTCGTTGCTCAGATATTCGATCCGTGGTGTCGTCATTATCCTTTTTGAGAAATATATTTCTGTTCTTTTAAGTCTCATCATCTTTTAGGAGATTGCCTTGCATTCAATATCATATAAGACAGATATCACATAACAGATCAGTACTCTTTTCTTTGTTAGTAACGATGTTTTCTGCTTCTTAATAATCTGCTGAGCTTTTGCAAGGCATCTTTTTTGGTGGTAATATCTGTTCACATTTCAGTGCCGCACTTTCCGTCCTCTGTTAAAACTTTTACTAGACTTTATAAAATAAATGATGTCGCTCCCAAGTCGACATGATATAAGCAAATGGGATCTTAAGTTAAATGGTTGTGATTAACTGACAACGTCAGGAATATATATTGCGTAATGGCATTGTTACTGCTGACAGCTTCAATGTTGTTTTTTTGTGATTGATTGATTGAACATAGACGGAGATACAGTAGTATATATTCTATAGGGATTGCTACCCAAAAGATTTGGAAATGTAATAGAAATATTTGCCACTTTCCCCTTTATTGAGTCTTTGTAGAATATAGCGATGCCTGAAATTCATAGGAAACATATGAAAATACTAGTTTCTTGAAGAAATTCTTTTTATTGTCTTGCAATTCTTACGCGCGTAGTATATTTAATTCATAGGAAGCATAAGTGTATTAATAGGCGTGTCTGTGTAAGTATTACTTATTAATAAAAATAAATTAAGTATTACTTATTAAAAGTCTTAATAAATCATATCACACGCATTCACACAAACAAACCCAAATAGGATACAGATCAGATATGGATGTTTCAAGAATCGACAGAGAATTCTTGTTTAAAAGGCACTATTTCGGGATTTGTTTGACCGTAAGTCCTACGTGGCCGAATGGTTAGGTACGTCAGATAAAATTATGGTTAAACAAAGGGGATGCTGGTTTGCATTCTGCCGGAGGGTGGATATTTTTCTTACAAGATTTTTGGAATATTCAGGAACGTAGAAGTAGTTGGATAAAAATACTGTTTAATTAAAAAGAGTGCTTCTAATCGAATATGAGTATCCATCAAAAATAATAATTTAAAAAATGACAATATGTCTGATATATTCTATTTCTTACATATATATATATATATATATATATATAAGCAAGTGTAAATGGATATAAATCTGACAGAATGTGAAATTTTGAAAAAAAAACAAACAAAAATCCTTAAATGTAGTTAAAATGAATTCTTTCATTTTAACTACATTTAAGATTTTTGTTTGTTTTCAAAATTTTATATATATATATATATATATATATATATATATATATATATATATATATATATATATATATATATATAAGCAAATATATGGATATAAATCTGACAGTATGAAGAAAAATATATTATAGTATAAAAAGTATATGAAAAATATATATTTTCTTCATACATATATATATATATATATATATATATATATATATATATATATATATATATATATATATATATAAAGTGTATATATATATATATATATAAATATATATATATATATATATATATATATACATGTGTATATATATATATATATATATATATATATATATATATATATATATATATATATATATATATATATATATATACATAAAGTGTATATATATATATATATGTATATATATATAAAGGTATATATATATATATATAAAGGTGTATATATATATATATAAAGGTGTATATATATATATATATACATATACATATATATATATATATATATATAAAGGTGTATATAAGCGATGTTAAGTTTCAGTTATATGTTTTGGGTTACGTAAAAGAGTTTGGAAATAGTGAGTGCAGATATTTTGAGAATGATTGTCATTGAGGGCTTTTAACTACCCTTTTAGTCATATTTCAAGATCCGGGTTTATCTAGACATGTTATGTTTCGATATATTTGATTACACTTTGAATCTCGGTACGTGACATTGTTAAAGTGTATTGGGAGTGTCTGAGGTTTGTAGTTTTTAAAATACGACAGGTTCCGGTTTGATTTTTTTTCTTTTTACTTGGTATGGAAACAGATAAGCATACATATTTGCTACATTCAATATGAGATTATTAAAGGCCTACCATCTTTCTTGATGACGTCTTAGACTCGTTTATAAATTGGTTGAATTTGATGCAATAGAAATGTATTACTTTTGTTATTACTTTCGAAGATGTTATTCACTTAATTTAGAGTTTTATTGTCTTATCAACAAATTAGGGCAGACCTTTGTACATTTCTTTATTTGATATTAACAATTTGTTTGTAAAATAGTCTACGGAATGATAATGTATAACAGAGAGATGGAAAAATTATTAATGCCTGACTGATATCTGTAGGAATTCACTATTTTTTATTAAAATGGCCAGAGCCTGAACGCTGTAGGTCTGTCATATACGGAGGTTGTGATGTGGAGAGGCATTGGAAACAGATATGATGGCTTGGAAATTGATTGTACATCAAGATTATTTGACCCAGAAGGAGCGCACTAAATTATTTCGTAATGGCAATAATGGTAATATTGTTGTTCGACGATTACGAAACTCCAAACGCTAAAGGACGGAGAGGACACGGACAGAAACTGTCTGATTACAAATAAAAATTGGAGTCAATAGACCAAAACCAAACAGGGAAAATGTTAACTGCTCACCGGAGAAATTCAAAAAAAGAAATTATCTCGTGACTAATACAGCGGATCAAGATGCGTGTCCCGAAAATATATATTACATCGTTTTTTATATATATATATATATATATATATATATATATATATATATATATATATATATATATATATATATGACCGTCTGTGGCTATTTGCGTGTGTCTTTGTGTGATTGTTTAAAATATTTGAGAGGGGCTGACGTCTTTCTTCCCACCAATTATAAAGTTCTCCCAGAAGATAGAATCCAGGTAGAACTCAATGAACCAGGAGAGAGTAAGGATATAATAAAAAGGCTTAGACACTAATATTCCATGGTCATAATTTATTCATTGGAATCGTAAATACGATCCAATACATCAGACCTACAAATTCAAAAAGAAAACATAAAAAACAACTCCGAAAATAAAAATAGAATTTAGAGAGAGTGTAAGTATGAGAGCGTGGGACGAATGTTAGAGCTAAAGAGAGGGGTAACAGACGAGAGAGGGTGGGAGATTAAAACTTAACAGAGAGAAGTTTTAGAAAAGGGAGTTGAAGACGGTTGAAGTGAGAGGAATATGAATGTTGTCGGATGTCTAATACATTAAGTATGTAACCGGAAAGGATACATTTTGTGATGACATACACACACTAGAGAGGATCTAATCTTAAAGATCAGAAGAGAGAGGGAGAGGGAAAAAAAGTAAAAAAAGAAAAAATAGAAAAAGGGATGTGAGAGAGAGATGGGGCGGGGGAAACTAAAACTGAAGGACATTTACTGAAAGGGTCGCTGTGTAGTTAAGAAAATTTGACAAAATTAATATCGACTACAGGTTACAAATCAAATATAAACATAAAAATATAACGATTATCTAATCTAGCAAGGACCTATATTTTTATGTTCAAAAACACATGCGTATACACACATACACAATAATATATACACGTACATACATACATATAGGATTGTACCCACATACACACATATATATCCGTGTACACACATACACATATATCCATATATATATATATATATATATATATATATATATATATATATACATTCTCATATGCAAACACATACATACACATACATACACACACACACATGCATGTATATATATACATACATACATACATAAATACACACACATACATACATATACACATACATCCATACACATCCACTCCTACATATATATACACATTTGTACACATATATACATACGGACATACACATACGTGTACATAAACATATATACATAAAACCTTACATCTCCATACAATTACATACACCCATCTAAACAAATAAACAATGTATCCCTATATCTATCCGTCTAACTATACATACATACATATATACATACATACACACCCATATACAGATATATCTGAGTACATACGTACCAAAACATACACACAAATATAAACACATCTACATAGACATCTTCCTAGATATACATACATCCATATACGCATACATAAATATACATATACATATATACGCATACATATACATTCATACATACACATACATATACATATATACACACCTACATATATATACACACACACACACACAGCTACGTGCATATATATATATATATATATATATATATATATATATATATATATATATATATATATATAATAAAAAATGTAAAATCTAAAAAAAGTAAAATTTAAAAAATTTGGTCTCAAAAAAAAAAAAATTAAATACATAGTGCATCACATAAACGTACACAATGATACTTTAGAGTTTTATAGAGATAAACATTTCGTTCCACACTCTCATACTGACACTCTCCCTAAAC